TGTAGTGAGTGTGCTTATTTACGCTGGTACCTAGGACTGGCGCATTGTAAAACTGAACATCGTTCTAACCTGCTATGCTAGGTAATACTTACCGAGACCACGTTCATGCGTGTTCTTACGGTTGGTACTGCGACAAACAACCACGAACATTCGTGAAAATGGGAAGCGAATTAGACATCTCATTCGGCGGAGGTAAAGAATCTACCTCCTTATCACCTGAGTTCCTGAGTTTAGGAAACACTTCTGCCGATGCGCATACTTATTTGATTAGTATGCTTTTCACGGACAGGAGATGTTCGGTTGTCTTAGGTACTACTGCATCGCATCGCTATCTAGGCTGGCAGATCTCTAGTTGTCGTTGGGCCTGAGTCACTCTATTCCAGCCTTTTTCTCGCAGACACTGTCAACCGTTCAAATGAAGGCAGGATAGTCAAAGCGGTATGATATTATTGACTACCTATGAACATATAAAGTGCTCGTACAGTACCATGTACACATGAATTCTTCTAATAACCATGATTCGTACATGTCCAGAATTATGCTACTCGCCGCTCATAGCCTAGCAGGAATATCCGCTGGTTAGCTGGGATAGAATCCTCGATATTTCACGCCATTCAGCCGTAAACTCCATTAGCCATCAGAACACATGAAGGCCATCAATGCGCCTTTTGAGCCTCTATTATTCAGCTTTCGGCCTTGTGTGTTGGTATTCATGCAAAAAAGGGGTATAAGATAGATGCCGAGCAATTCCTGGTAACGCCAATTCAACCACATACGCCTCGTTTAAGAGAAGGACTGCGTGACGGGAGGAAGAGGGGTGAACTGGACGTTCGGGTACTGCTCGACCTCCTGCTGAAGGCCTCCCTGGATGAGATCGAATAGACGCGCTCCGTCCGACGAGTAACCGGGGACATAAGAGTCACCAAAGACCTCGAGGAAGGTATTGTAGGTGGGCTTGGGGTCCTTGGCACAGAAGCGCGTAAAGGTATCGTTGGTGCCGCGGAAGAGGGTCGAGTTGGTGAACTCGCCCTGGATGCTGTCCCAGTACTGGTTGGGGATGATGGGATTCCGCGGCTGGGGGAACTCGAAGCCGATGGACCGGACGATCCACTGGGTATCGACGTTCTTGAAGTCGGCAACGCCGATGATGGTCTGGAGGGAGATGCCGTCGTATACCCTTTCGATCCGGTTGGCGTCCCAGTTGTGGGCGTCGGGGTGGTTCTTGATGAAGTTTATGGCGGCGACGCCACTGTCAACCTCGAAGCGGTATTTATGACTGTCATAGGGGCTGTTCTCGCGTTCTGAAGAGACACCGTTAGATGGGATTAGAAAATTATGAAAATTCAGGAGTTGCACTTACGGTCCCAGCCCATGTCGTGAAGTAGAGAGCCAATGGCGTGAACCTCGAGGTCAACGCTAGCCTTTAGAGTGGCGTTGTTGTTGAAAGCAGCAGCGCCGAGGAGCCATGTGCGCATGACATGGTTGTAAAGGTAGGGTTGGAGGGGAATGAATTCCTTGACAAGTTCGACGGCATCCTGAACAATCTGGGTCCAGACAACTTCGACACCAGCAATGGTGGTCGTGGGCAGCGTATGATTTTTATGTCCAGGATTGCATGATGCCTTCTTGCCGGGAGCAGCAACAGTAGCGCCGGCCAGGGCCAAAGAGGAAATGAGCCCGGAGACCTTCATTTTCAAATAGATGGGGATATGCAGAAAAAAAATAAAAAAAACCCAAAAAAGCAATGAAATGGTTAGTGAAGCAATACTTGACAGATGCACTGATGAGACAATCAGCAGAAGAATTAGAAATGGGCGTACGTAGCATTCACATACCTTTATATACACCTCGCCTATTCAGTTCGGGCTTCAAAGCCCTGGTCTCCCAAATCGTATGTACACCATGCCCTTGCATCCGTCTATGATGGCCCATGGCCCATGGCTGTCACGGCTGGCTGTGTCTTGGATATTACGACCAAAATAGCATAGGTATAGGCATGGTGTGCTGTCATAATGCCCAGTGTAGTCCGCGGGGATGGCGAATGATACATCCGTACCGGCAGTCTAAGCGTAGGTACCTATCCCGGGCAACAGCACGTTGATCAGAGACGTGAATCTCGACCCACGTAAGCGGGATGTCTCCAGACTAAGGTTCACAGTAAGACCTCCCTCTGGCTTCTCTAGAGAAAGACGTTGAACCGATAGCCACATGAGGTTCGAGCTGACCATCTTTCGTCGCCGACGACGTCACTTGGGACTCGGTGTTGCACTGCAGTTATACAGTCTGCGGTGTATCTTCAGACACCAGGAGCTTGAGCATCGTGATAAGTGTTGAATCGCCAGCCAGGTACTTCTTACAGTACCTACAGGACCCCTGGGCCCTGAGCGGCGGCGGGAGCGAGCTGACAACTTGACATTCGATGCCAAGGATACAAAGCTGAAAATCCCCAAATTAGCTTCGAGCCATTCACATTCTCGCCTTCATCGCGTATGTATGGAACCGCTAACTCTATTCGTACTCACGAGACTGAAGATGTCAGCCCAAGTCGTCACGTATACTAGTCCATATCGAACGATCCTCACGCTCTATTGTCGGGACTTGCGCACATAGTAGCAAGAAAGTGTGATATCCCGCGCATACTATGTATGTGAGGTAGCAGTATTACCTCTCCGATGTTCATTATTGTATCGCTTATCGGGTACGAAGACGCCTGGTGCTTGTCAACAGGGGATGTTAAGGGAGGCTGATACGTCACATTTCACGATTGCGATCATCAGTGGCGAGCGAAAATTATGTATGGGTTGACTTGCAATCCGGTAATCCGTAAGCGACCGAATACGTATCCGAGGTGCAGTATCATTTCGTGCAGTAAGGTGTTTGCAGAGAAACATAGCGACTGCTTTGAGAAGGATGCTTTGAGAAGGATTCGAATGTTTGTTCCTATCAAACGGAGAGTGTTCAGTTCTTTAGTAATCGCCAGCATTTAATCTGTACGTAGGAACAAAGTATTCACCTAAACGTAAGCACATCATTGATAAGTGCATGCATATGTGTATAACAGGTGTACCACACTCGGTTAACCGATTTGGTATAGGATGTTTCGGTTAGCTTCGCCTCCCCTGATGACAAGTTGCCGGCCTTCAGGTAATTTCCGTATACCGGTACGGACGTACTAGCCCCGGCATTACTGTAACTTTTACTCACCTCACTACACAATATACCTACCTAGGCAGAACCTAGGCTCATGCTGGTCGTCGAGAGTCAGAGATTGTATGTATGTATTCGCCGTCTCGGAGCTCACGCAAGCAGTTAAGGCCGAGGCTATCTTCTCCCATGAAGCCGCGATGAAAGCCGGAGCATATTGGCGACGCGCCTCCGAACGCGCTTCGGGAATGTCGAAACCGATACGTAAATTCGACGCCCGCCAAGGGCCAAGTCTGGCCTTGTGTGTCGTCTAGCACAGTCATCAAAGGTCGCCCACTTCATGCCCCGTAATCGACCAGAAATCGACCAACGTGGCTACGACGTTACAACAGGCGATATCAAGCAGGCTAGCCCCGTTGTTGGGAAGGACACGAATTCGGATTTGGTGGGTTTCGCATGGTATCGATATCGGTATCGGTGTCGGGTAGTTCCGTCAATCTTTGGCAACTCCTGTTTGCCCATGTCTCGCCGCAGATACTTCAAGTGGCGAGTCTTCCCGCCCGAATTTACGCGCTTTCGTATCGTTGTCCGATCCGAGGCTATTGTTGATCCCATCATATCATATCTATCATCCTATGCTTGGGGTCGTACGACTTGCGCCTCCTGGATCACTTGCACACCCTTTCGAACAATGCCTGGCCTTTTTGTGGCGATCGCCCTTCGAAAACACAATACCGGTGAAAGCGCTTCTTAGAATCCATTGACTCTTAGTGGCGACCCGAGCTGGCGGTATTGTTCAGACCGTGATGCGTTACGGAGGCATTTTACCTGGCCCCTCGCCCTGTTGGAAGTTTTCTCCGGGTACGTAATATGAAAGGTACCGAGGGCCCGTATTTCACGCGGACATCCACCAAGCTCCTGGCATATCAATGACTCCGGTGTGTTGCAAGGCGCGCTGTTCATCGTCGGAGCATGGACATATTTGCTGTCGTATTGCCAACTAGCTATCTAGTTTCTTATCCGTCGTCTTCGCTATCTGTGACCTTTGACTGATGAACTGCCATGGTGGAGCGCTGTGGACGTCATACTCTGCGACATTCATGACTGAATGAGCTTATGGAAGTAGAAGTATGCTGCGGATATGCCAGATGCATTAAGGTGAGAAAGACTGCTGGGACAGCGGAATACGTATCGGAACTCTGGCGAAGAGAGCTCGTGGGATGATTCACTGCCCTTATACAAGACCTGATACCTGCCTATCTCGTATTCCGTATAAGCAGAATAACAACGACATGTAGCAGCATGCAGGCAGATTACACGGCTTTATTAGGTGTGGCCGAGAGAGACAGAGACAAGTGAATAATGCTGTGATCAGAACAGCAAACTGACTTCTGTTAGGAGGGAATGTCAGCTTTATCTTACAGGCACGAGCAGACCATCCAGGTTGCCATTCCGACTCCTGTCAAGTTGTTGAATCACCTCTAGGTCACCAATGTTACCATAGTAAATGCTGGGCACGTCCTGATTGAATAGTAGTCAATGCTAATCCTGACGGTAAAGAGCTGGTAAGGTAAGCCAGGAAAAGTCAACCCGACACTCTATCTAGGACGTACTAACCTTAAGTAGTTATATCCTGATTCCATAGCGCACTGAATGGGGGCGCTGCAATTAACCTAGCTAAGTCTCTATATGTGTGTTATGCTCCTGACAATGTCGGCGATGGCGACGACATTTGAGAAGCTCTGCCGTCAATGATCCTTTATTCACGGATAATATGATATGAAGGAACCAGACGAACAGAAAAAAAAGTAACCGTCAAAGAGACTGATCGATCGATATCAGGAGATGCAAAAAGCTGGACGAACGGGGAATTGAACCCCGGACCCCTCCCAGTCACAAATAACCTCCTAAATTCAGGAAATGCGAAGGGAGTATCATACCCCTAGACCATTCGCCCTAGTATGGGATGGTTTCGTTTTCGGCGGCATTAACAATTACTGGCACTGGGTCTTTCGGGCAATTCACACGGTATTTTGGGCCTGTGACACCCCCCTATCTAGGGGCTCAAACGTTTCCTTTTTGTGGGCTTTCTCCTGTAAGCATACAGTTTGTGTATCATGATATGTACTGTACCATGGAGCTAACAAGGACGGGGAGCGAGAAACTTACCCACCCGATAGGAATGCCGCCATTGTCATTTCTATCTACCTAACTGATGGGAATATATTATTGATGGGTTCTTTTAGGTTATTCGCATTGAATATCACGACTTTCTATATATCGTATGGCATCTGTAGACGGTGATGCGGTACATACAGTCTGCTCAGAGAATCATCCTATCTATCATCCCTTTTCGTTACCATCCGACGACCATCCGAGGGTTCACCAAAGGTGGGTCTCCCTATGGAACAGTTATTTGACTAATATAATACCACCCACGCAGGGGCCAAACGAGAGCCTACACCGCACATAAGCCGCTGCTGTCTACCTAGAAGATGTGAATCTATCTACAACTTCTCGTACCATTGATTGGAGTTGGGCTGCTGCACACATCACCAAGCCTGTCTCTCGATGGCTCCCGATAATGGCTCGCGATTGGCAGGTATCTGGTGAGTCTCACCCGGCCTCACGAGTCCATGAGTCTCGACATCGAACGGCGGGACAACTACCTATCCGGGGGGCATCTATCTACATGAGCAAGCTTACTAACTTGAGGTCAGGTTCCTGGCTTCATTCGTGTGGCTATACTGTTCGTTAGACAGACACACCCTCATCAGTACGGATCGCCTACCTATTTGACCTCTACCACTGGCAAGAGACGTGATACTGACTTAATCTACCCAGGTCAACCACGCCTATCCTCTGTCTTCCTCTTGCTTGTCTCCGGCTCATTTGTTTTTGCAGCGAGCCTCTTTTCAAAATGGCTCCCAGGGGCCGACGGAAGATTTGGTTTGTCCGCCCGCCTTTGTCTGTGATAAAACATCCACTGACGTTGCAGATAAGACTCCGACGCCGTTTTAAAGGCATCATCATCCTCCTTGCCGCCTAGGCCTCGTCGGATCTACATACCCTGCATCATTGTTCTTCTCATCCTTAGACTTGAGTTTTCTTACGTGGTTGTGCGTGATTTCCAGTGCTCCCAAGCGAGCGTTGAGGTGAGTTAACCCCCATCAAGTCACATCTAATCAGTATCTTTTAAAATAACGGAGTTGGGTTGTAGGCATTTTTGTTGTTGTTACTGGCGGCTTACAAATTCGTTTCGCATCGTCCACCGCCGCCAGTAGACTTAGATGAGCCCGAGGACATGTGGGGAAATCCCCTGGATGACCTCAAGATCTGGCTCATGGGCTCACCTCTGCCCCTGCTCCTCAGTTCTGCTGTCCTCAGTTACGCAACATTCTTGACTGGCAACTTCACGACGCGGTCCACCTATTTCTGTTCTCCCTTGGCAGACCAAGCATCGCTCGTGATCCCTGCTCAGTGGGCCGGTCTTTTTGCGGATACAGTTATCATCATCCTCCTATGGAGGGTGCTCTCCTGGGCTCGAACCACGAGGAGTCGACTGCGGACGCTTGGTGGCATTTTATTGATCACATCATTCGCGACATGCGTTCCCTTGCTCGTGGAACGATACTCACGATATGACGAGATTGTCAGTCAGCAATCCCTCAGAGGGATCAAAACTCTTTACCTCTTCGATATCCTAAGCACTGGTATAGTTGTGGCTACTCTGATTATATCGGGAGCCCTGATGATCTGTGATAAATCGCCCCTCGAGCCTATCGGTATCGCCACACTTACATCGGGGATATTAGCTGGTGTTGGCAATGTGCTTCTGGTTGGCACCTACCAGCAAACATCTGCTGTTCAGCCGCTACTTATATCTGGCTCCATTTCAATAGGGTTTACCCTTTTCATATACGCCAACAATATGCGTTCGGTTGTCTTCATACGGCGTATATTCTTTTTACTGTTACTCGTGGGTGTGATGGGCTTCTCAATCATCCGCGTCATCTCAACACAGACCAATTTCATCCACCACCCCGTTGATGAACTCGTGTACCAGAGCCGAGTGGAAGCCGATCGATGGCTGCGACATGCGACAGTTAGCACGAGTCTGAAGATCGCAGTCAAAGAATACGAGGAACGGCATCACGGGCGCCAGCCACCGCCTAATTTCGACAAGTGGTACGAGTTTGCTCGGCAAAGGAAGTCCGTCATTATAGACAAGTATGACCAGATCGAAGCGGATATACTGCCCTTCTGGGGTCTACGATCTCAAGCTATTCAAGACGGCCTTGAGTTTCTCAAGAGCCAGCCCAACATTGGAATCATTAACATTGCTGGTGGCAAGCCATCTCACAACGGCCCTGCTGACCCTTCACAACGAGAAATACTTGATGGGATTGTGACTCTGATCTCGGCATTTGCGGAACATCTCCCGGCGATGGAGATTGCCATCAATCTTCAAGAACGGCCGAAGATTCTAGTTCCTTGGAACGAGATGAACCAGTTAAGGACAGCAGCGACCCGATCAGGCTTCCAACTTATGTCAGGCCGACTGGGCAAACGTAATAAGCTGGATTCCTTTACAGGAGACAATATCGGGACCACCATGCAAACAGGACCAATGGATGCGATCTACTCCTATATTCCGGCCTCTCAATTCCGACAGCTCCAGGCGCTGGCTTGCCCGCCGGGGTCTCCAAGTCGGAGTGGCGTCAATTGGGATGTAAGAAACCTTTGTGCCTCATGCGTCGCACCTCACAGCAGAGTGCAGTTTCTCGGGGACTGGTCAATGTCGCTTGACCCGTGCCACCAGCCGGATCTGTTCAACCTGCACGAATTTCACACTATTCCTCACCAGAACGAACTGTACCAAGATTTGCTTCCGCTCTTCAGTGGATCGAAAACGTCTAGCTTCAGCGATGTCCTCATTCCCTTTCCAGGGCTTGGACTAGAACAGGAGTATGACGGCAAAACCTTTAATCAAAAGCAGGATATTCTCCTGTGGCAAGCCAATGTTACAGACATCCCAGTGGTGACTCATGAATCACTACATGGGAGTCAACGGTTGCGCCTGGTGCACCTCGTTCGAAACGCGACTGCAGCTGACAAGATTCCGATGTTATTGGGAATAGGAACAGAGAAAGATAGCAGATTTCAATACGAAGATGTGCCCACATTCGAGGGCAACACTATCTTGCCCTTTCGATTCGCCCTGACCAACCCGTCCGAGGTCTGTGGCGACGCGAAGTGCGAGCTCATGCGAGCCGAGTTCGGATTGGAGCCACCTATTACCGAACTGGATAGTCGTTATGTGATGCTGCTAGACAGTAGCGACGGGCCAGCACCAAATTTACTGCAGACCCTGGGATCAAACAGTGTACCGGTCGTCGCGTCCATCTTTCAGCAATGGTTTACAGAACGACTCATGCCATGGGTGCATTTCATTCCCATTGATCTACGATATCACGCTCTACACAGCACGATGTCGTACTTTATTGGGTTGGAAGGCCGTGGCCCACTCAATGGGCGCGAGCAGATCACGCCTGCACGAACGGAGGACGCACGATGGATCGCTAGAGAAGGCCGCAAATGGGCCGAGACGGCCCTCAGGAAGGAAGATATGGAGGTGTATATGTTTAGATTGCTCCTGGAATGGGGACGGGTAATTGATAATAATAGGGATGATATGGGCTTTGAGCTGAAAGCATAACAGCCTTCACCCCTCATATCACGGTGTGTAGGGATACCTGTAATGTACAGATTAGATAGAAAATTATTGTAGAGAAAAACAGGCCTCCTTTGAAGCAACTTGGCCAATAATCTCAGTCGGCTTTCCCGCTTCATTCTAATATTCTTTGAGGATCGCATTGCAATTTCCCCTGCCCACGGGTTGTCAATTGGTGTGGAGGGGCAGAAATATACATTTAGGCGATAAACATCATTCATTTACGCAGGTGGCATTATGTACCAAGCGGTTAGTATACACGGTTTCCATCCAGCTTCCGCGTGGCTTGTATTTACACAAGCTTCGAGGACTTTATTGGCCACACTCAGCGCTTAGTGGACTCGGATATAGCTTCAGCCACTGCTAGCCACTGCTAGCCACAAGTACGCCCCCCGCATTGTTCGTAATATCAGGTACCTCCATATTACATAGCCCGATAAATACATAACTAAGACAATGCAGGTATGGCGTTGTGACGTAGACTGCCCCCCAGCCCGAGTCGACATTATGCTTCAGCACATCTCACCAATCCCAGCTGGTTAATTCACCCACCTCTCCCATGCATCCGACTTCCCATCGCAACCCATTTTACCTTATTGCAGCTGTCGGCCGTCTCAGTGCGGCGAACATCAGGGTTAACAACAGAACAAACTCTATCATTGCTATCCGGCCCATAAACTAACCAATCGCCGATGCATCTCTGCGATCGTCGCATACACCAGAATTGGAATACCTAATTCATTCGTTAAAGAAAGGCCGATTCCATTCGATCGCGTCGCGCCTCGGTGCCCGTCTTTCAGACTTCCAGCCATGGCAGTCACTAATCAGGACAGCTTCTCTAGCATCTCGTGGCAGATGGGAGCGGACAACAGTGCCGAAACTATGGACTCTTCAAGCGGCGCTATGTCGGACATTGAAGCCGAACCCCCAACTAGCGACGATCAGCAGCACGGTCGAATTCTACAACGCCAGGATCCCGGCCTATCCGGCGACATACTTGAGTGCACTGTCTCAGAACCGCGAAAGGAAAGCGACGGCACCAAGGACGCTTTTGTATCATATTTAATTACTACAAATGTAAGTCCACAGCGACCGCAAGAGATGCGAGAGTCACCCCATCGCTAACCCTTCCGCTCCTACCTAGTCGACGTTTCCTTCGTTCCAGAAGCCCACATTCACTACACGCCGGCGCTTTACCGACTTCCTTTTTCTCTCAAAGTCCC